AAAAAAAAAAAAAAAAAAAAAAAAAATTTGCCCATCCATACACAGCACTTGGCACAGAGACTAATCCCAAATAAACATCCAATAAATGTTAGTGTAGAATATCTGCTTTAACAAATTTTTAAAGAAGGAAATAGGCAACCCAGTTTCCTATGGAAAGACCTGGGTCTGGGTCCAGCCAGCCTTGGGCAACAGTTCTTTCATCTGTAAAATGAGGCAGTTTTGAGCAAGTGGTCAGGTTTTATCTAATGGACAATGTAAATTGTGTAACTGACCATCAAATTTCTCTTTTCCTGCTAACTACACGAATGTTTAACTACACAAACCAAATGTGTGAGCCTACTGTAGCAAACCCAAAGCACATGGAGATAGTTTTTGTATCATTCACATTTTCTCTCCATCTCATATCCCTTTTCCTTTCAAAAAAAATTATTACTGATTTAAAAACATTTTAATACAATGTGTCTCTATAACTTGCATTAAATGTGGTTTTAGAATAAGGTGACACAGTAATGAAAACATGGATTCTGTTTGGGAGGGGGGAAATGAGGCTATATACAATTTTGGTTAAAAGTTAAAAGCATAAGTTTTGGTTTCACTACCTTGAGCAAGTTATTTAACCTGCCTTAGTTTCCTCAATTATAAGATGGGACTAACAGTTATAGTTTCATCATAGGATAATTTTAAATATTAAATGAGATAATGCACTTGATAAATGTTAGCCATTATTATTAATATTAATATTTATGTTTTCTCTCTCCAGAACCAGTTCTTATGCCCATTTCAGATGCTCCACTATCGGTTTCTATGAAACAGGGTCTGCCGATGGATTTTAAAAGGAGACGTAGATGTCCTGACTTGGGGCTTTTCTAAAAACAAGGCAATGTTGCCACACAGAGAACTGCAATGCGTGGCCCACAACTTTGCAAGTGGCGAAGCAATTCTCACCTTATAGCTGTGGTCCTCTCATTGTTGATGGTGCAGCCTGGGGATGGACGGGAAGGATATCTGAAGGCAGTAGACAGATGGCTCCAAATTTCAATGGCAACGTGTAAGCTTTCGCTTTCGATGATTCATTCAACCCACTTTAACTATTATCTCTATTATTTTACATAATAGAACGCTTGTTATGTACTAGGCACTGAGGATGCGATGGAGAGCAAGACACATCTCTGCTCTGTTAGATTTTATGTTCAAATGGTGGTATTCAGGCAAGTATGCCAACAATTACAACACAGCATAACAAGTGGTAAGGTAGAGGAAGTCCAGGGAGTTATGGGAGCATGGACAGCTGACCCTAACCCAACCCAAACGGGGAGGGGTCATGGAGGAAGCAACAGCTGAGTGGATACCAGAAGGATGACTAGAAGGTAGGCACCATTGTGGGGGAAGAGTG